AAAAATACTAAGAGAAATCAGATAAATAATTGATGCAGGTATTCAGGAGAAAGATAATGAGTTAAATAAGTTCTTCAGAAATGTGAGTGGAATGGAACAATATTGAAAACACATAAGGAAGTATTTCAATGATGGTTGGGGCTTTACAAGGCACATTAAATTTGTGTATTGTTATCAGTCTATTAAGAAAAGACACAAAAATCTCTTTGTGCTCACCATAAAATAATGTAGTTTCAATGTTACAACATTTTGGGAACACCAGTTATCCTGTCTCTAATTGCTTCACAGAAGGAAGAAATTAAAAAGCCATTTATCACCACCAGCTAGGTCTTTGTGTTCCATGTTTAATAAAGTGATTTCAGTTCAGATGCTCAAGATTTTAATTTAATGCAGCGATAGGAATGCATCTTCCACCACCATAAAATGTCATTTCCTTAAGCAAGAGCCTTTCACTTGGAAAATGAGAGTTTTGGAAAAGAGATTCAATTGTCCTCTGGTCAATTTTATTCAATGACAGCATGATTTAGAAAGGCAATAGAGCTGTTGAGTCTTAAAAAAAGCTTGGCACAGTTTACCTCCACAGTTGCCTCATCTGGCATCTCAGCCAAGCTGCGTAAGTATAGAGTAGAGTTAGTGCCACAGGTTTCCTACCAGCTGACAGGGACTTCTCCCTCAGTTGCTGTGAGATGGTTCTCATCCTACCCACCCACCACTCATTGTCAAATATTCTCCTATTAATGTCCAGGGCTCACTAATGAGATGATGTGGCTAGTCCCTTTATTAAAAGATGTTCATTTAAAAATGAACTTCAAAAGCCACTGACATGAGGTTGAACATACATGGTGAAATAATAGGTGGTAGTTTATGCAAAAAAAACACACAAATTGTCAAAGATCTTCAGTGGAGTCCAGCACATCCTAACAGAATACATTAGCTCCTCTAAGTGAGCTTATCACAAAGCTTCGATTTTGCTTTTCTATAGGACAACATGGTTTGTCTCGAAAGAAAAAGCACTTTGGAGCCAGCAAACATGGTTTTACTCTTGATTCTTAATTTCCTTCAAAAATGGGCATAATAGCTCGTTCTCAATATTGTTACAAAGTTTAAAAGAGATAAGGTATAAGGCCTTACAGATAGATGGCACTCAACCCAAGGTACTCATCACTCAAAAAGATATTTATGCAGTATATCCTATGGGCCAACTCTGGGCTAAGAATGTACAGATGGGTAAGTGCTCCCCCTTGCTCTGAAAGCACACATGACTTGGTAGGAAAAATGGGCATGTAAATAAATGATAGTGATTCTCAGCCTGGGTGCTATATTGGATGTGCAGAAAAGGTGGAATGGGGCACAGAGCAGTGCAGCACCTTTTCTGTGGAGGTGGGAAAGCATAGCGTAGAATGCGTCACAGAGGAGATGTTTGCCAGGGTCTGGAACAAGGACAGATAAAAGGACGATGCTAGCCCTTGGTTGATGGGGTTTTTGAAGACAAAGACACTCCAAGCCCGCGGCTCTCAGTGTTGATGGCTTTAACTTTCGCTGTGCTTTCCCCTCTTGGTTCTTCCACTGTGGTTCTCAGAATTGTATCTGGCTGGCCTCTCTGCCTAAGCCAGGCACCGGTTACTGTAATTGATTAGTCATGGCACAACTGGTCAAACACGCTGTCTGTGTAGCCAATGATATGGAAAGGATGGAACCTGCTTGGTCCCAAGGGGAAGATGTCTGGTGTTTTTTTTTAAATACTGGTTATTATCACTATCAAGTAACTCAATACCCATACAAGTACTGCTTCGATGTTAGTATCAGAGAATAACAAAAATTCCCTCTGTCCATGGTCTCAACAGTCAGACAATTCGCCATATTGTCTCAGTAGAGTAAAAGGGTAATTACATGTGGTAAAAGTCTCTGTTTGTTCCAAATTTACACACTAGGAGAAACTGGCTGACTTTGCATGTGGCACATAATAGACAAGTTCTACCAGTGCTTCATGGTACCTTTTGAATTTAAGTGTCACTAAAACTTTAAAAGGGACATTATTGGAATAGTCTAGGTAGAATAATAAAGCAATTTGTTCAAGGTAATGATAAGTAAAGTGAGATTACTGAGTACTACTTAGTTATGTGGGCTAGACAATGTGAAGAAGCTCTCAGGAATTCCAGTGGCTCGTTAATCTTGGTTAGCGAGCATCATTGATCTTTATCTTAGAAGAGCCGTGTGTACTTCTACGCTGGTGGAAGACAAATGGCAAAGAAAGGGATTAAACAGGTTAAACAGAAGGAATACAATTAGCAAATAAGCAAGTAGAAAAAATGGTCATTCTTAATAAAATAAAAAATACTCATAAATCTAAAGTATTATTTTGCACCTATTAGATTATCAAAGTTTAAAAGATTATAATGTCAGTGCTTACAAGATTATAGTGAAACTGGTATATTTTAAATATGTGTATATATTTAGAGGTAATAAAATAGTATAAAGCTTTTGAAAAGTAATTAATAACATAAATCAGAAACCTAAGCTATGTTTCCATTTGGGGGACTACATTTAAAGGAAATTGTCAAATAAGAAAAGGTAATTGATATCAATAGTTTCATTTTAGCATTGTTTATAATATTGAAACAGTAGAAGTACCCAAATGTCCAACCACAAAACATTAGTTAAATAAGTTATATCTTCGGAGGAAGTAACATCATGAAACATTAAAATAATAATAATTATGGAGACTCTATCAGAAATGCTTAAGTTATAATGTAAAGGGAAAGCACAGAATATGAGGCTTGGTTTATGTGTTTATGAGGTTGGTTCATGGTTTATGTGTATATGCCAAGTTATATATGCAAACTATATGAAACGTGGACATGTGGAGAGTCAATAGCAGAGTGGAAAGTACACATACTTGGCAACCAGATAGGTTTCAGCTTGAGTTCTGTCTCCTCATTTGCAAGCTGCTGACAAGTTAAGTTCTATGTGTTTTCTTTTCTTATGTGTAAAATGGGGATACTTACACTACAGCTGAAAGAATGAAATTAGGTAATTCTATAATTTCTGAATCAAGGTATTAGAATTAGTGTGAATTTTTTTATTTTCTCTCATTTTGATTTCCATTAATTTTAGAATGCTGTTTTGCAATATAAAATATAGCTCAACTTGACATTGATCACCAAAGTTTTATTATACTCACAAATATATACCTTGTGGCATTGACTATATAGCTTACTGAAGTGATCTAAATAATTACTTTTTATTTAGTACTAAACATCTCAAAGTACACTGCTAAGTCATATTCCTTTACTTATTGAACAAACACTTATGTAGCTTTTACCATGTCCAACACACTGTTCTAAACACTGTAGTCATCTAATCCTTGTAACAACCCCATTAAGGTGTTATTGCTATCCATTCTTACAGGTAAAGAACTGACATACAGCCAGCTTTAAGTAACTTGAGCAGGGTCACATTGGTATATGCAGCAGAGGTAGAATTTGAACTCAGGCAGTCTGGCTACATGGTCCAACTCCAGAGTCCTGTGCTGCTTTTCAGCTGGTCAATTGAAACATACTCAGTGAACATACGCGGTGCTTGGAAATACAGGGCACAATCCTTAACTTGAAGTCCTTCTCTGGTCTTTAGCTACAGTCACTAAATTCTGCCCCCTCAACCTCAGATAAAAGTCATTCATGTGATAACTAAATGCTAAGGATGGAGAGACACCTCTTCTTACTCATGACCAAAGTCCTGAATGAAAGTCTGCAGCCGACTGTGGCTCTCTGTGGCCATGTGCTGTCAGAGTATGTGCTAAGATCCTGGAGCTGTGTGAAGGTGCCTAATGTTCTGCAAACATATGACTTGGGTTTCTCTTCATGCATGTATTTGTGTAGACACACCTTTACACACTACATGTATATGTAACTAATATTACAGCTCAAATATTAGACAAATACCACCAACTCAAATTACACGTTGAAGTACATTTTATTGTACATTTTAACACATAGGAAACCCACAATGCCTTGCTTTTTGCTGTTGAATTATCACTGTGTGTTATCACAGATGAAAGACTCTCCCTCTGTCTCTTTCTGATTGAAGAGTATTCTGAGATTCCATGCAAATTCTTACAAATCTGAAATGTTATTACCACTTGGAAGATGATACCACAATGACAGTTAAAATTAATGGCTCTAGAATCAATGTAGATGCCATTGCAGGCACAGCTATTTATCATGTGACTTGACTTTGGCCAAGTTTCTAAACCTCTCTGTATCTCAATTTCCTCATCTGTTAAATGGGACAGTACATACCTCACAGGGTTCTGAGAAAAGATGTAAACATATGAACTTAGACAAGTGACTAAGGAATAGAAGTGCTCAGTAAGTATTAGATATTATAATTTTAATTGCAATACCTATCCATAAAATCAGTCTTATTACTATACAACCAAAGCAAATGATAAAATTACATTAAATTCTAAGGTTGATATGTAACTGAAATCCTGTTTGTCAAGTTTTTGTGTTCATCCCACAGCTGAATTATTATTGACCAATTTTACAAGTTAAGTGCTACATATTTAAATAATAAATTTATACTAAATACTGTTCCAATTTGCAAATTCACTCTATAAAATTTTTTTAGAAAACAATGTTTTGCATTTAAAAAAGTACATTGCATCGTAATGAAATTTACATTTTTATGCTTTATGTTGTCTTATTCCAAAGGAAAAAAAGTTACCTCTTCCAAATAGATTTGTTTCTTTTCATGTCTCCCTATCATTTAAAGCTTATTTTTGAACAATACATGTTGAAATCAAATTATAAGGAAATATTGACCCCTTATCTGGTAGAGTGCTGTATTTTGGTGGGTGATTTTACTTACTGGCAGAGAACACTCATTTAATCTCTCCTGTATTTCTTTCAAGAGTGGTCCTTTTCTTGACAATAGGACCAGTTAGAATGTGCAGACAGTCTAAGTAAATTATCTGTTTTCTCTTTCTTTTTTTTCTGCAGTCATTCACAACACAGCACTGCAACCCGCCAGCCTTCAGTGACTCTGCAAAGGGCCATCTCCCTGGAAGGGTAAGATAAAATAATATGGAGCTTTCTCTTAAACTAAACTGCTAGCCTCATTACTTCAAACATGAAGAAATTTCTCTTTCCTTTCTTTCCTTCCTTTTTCTCCCCTTCCTTCCTCCCTCCCTCCCTCCCTTCCTTCCTTTCTTCCTTCTTTCCCTTTTTCCTTTCTTCCTTCCTTCCTTCTTCCTGCCTGCCTGCCTACCTGCCTTCTTTCTATTAGTAAATATCGAGAAGCTTCTGTTATACACAAAGCAGTATGCCAGGTACTAAATTTAACAAGTCAAATGAGATGTCTTCTTTCCATTCCGAGAGTTCATAGTCCATTGGGAGTGGCAGGAATACAAACATACTTGCCCAAAGTGTAAGCATCCCGCAGAAGGGAGATGTAAGGGACTAATGGAGGATCCAGGAAGGATACCTGGCTGAGAATGGTGATCAGAGAGGGAGGGGGGAGCAGGTCAGGATGGTTTCAGAGAAGATACAGCTCCTGAGCTGAGAACTGAAGGGTCTGTGGAGATTTGCCTGACACACATTGGAAGAAGGGTACTCTGGTTAGAAGAAATAGCATGAGCAAAACAAACAAACAAACAAACAAACAAACAAACCATGAACGCACGTGCAAGCATGAGATGCCAAAAGGCCACTGACTGACTCCGTGCTGTGGCATTCGGTGTGTGAGGCAGTAGGACAGGAGATGAGAATGGAGATGTTGGCTGGGCGCACTTCTCTTAGACACAGAGGATTTAGTATTTTGCATTTCTAACTTCCCCAATTAGACAAAAGCTGGAGGCGCTGGGGGAAGGGGCTAAGATTTTCCTCCACTTGCCTTATAACTGCAACTGGTTTAATTGAGAGCACTTAATCGGTTAATGTGTAAAAATTCAATTATTTTATTTTTCCAATATCCGTTACCAACTCTGCTTTGTTCAATGCTATATCCCAATGGCAAGTAGCCTTCCTTAATGGCATTTCAATTCAGATCTCTAACTTTATTATTTATTAGTCCTCTCCATTTTACAATCTTGTATTTTAGTCACACCTTGGTCCGTCCTTCCAACATAGTTAGGACTCAGGTTCCACCAAAGTGTTCCAGAGTCACAGAGGTATGGTTGCCTCTCTCTCTCTCTCTCATACCACCTGCTAGGTCTTCCTTTCTCTTGGATTTCTCACCGGGTAGTATTGGGGCAAAAGGAAGGAAACAGAAAATGGCATTTTCTTGCCCTTCTGCTGTGGCTGTGCCCTTTCTCTTGGCTCTCTGGTGATGTACCCTGGATGGATGACGAGCCAAACAGCACCCATACTGCAAGACTCAGGCAATTCCTCCAGCCCTGTGGTCCCCCGGGAGACTCAGCTATCTCTTCCTCAAGCCCTGGCCGGAGCCTGCCGGAGCCTCTGGGGCACTCAGCACTCTGCCCGGCTGCAGGACCCCCTCACAGGCCCGCAGGCCCCTCTCTCCTCTGTCCTCAGCAGCTGTGACCCGGAGGCTTGCCTCCTCTCTCCCTGGCTCACCTCTTTTTCTCCCCAGGGTTCTTTTCCAGCCTTGGTAGCAGCAGGGTAAGTCAGCCAATTCCACTAAGGGGACATCCACTGGGAGGGAGCTGGTAGCCTTTCCTTCCCGGAGAGTATAAACTTTATAAACACTTTTCGTGGAGTTCCCTTTCCTGCCTTCACCTAAAGAAACCTGCTGCATGTCCCCAGACCCATGGGAAGGTGAGCGAAAGGGATGAGGCCTCTCCATGAACTCTGCCCTCCCCCAAAAGGGCACCTCCTTCTCCTCTTCATCCTCCTCTTCTGTTTTTGAAGGTAAAGAACATCGAACCACCTTAAAAAAAGAAAAACAAAAAAGAAAAAAAAATCAGAGAGAGAAGGAAGGGAGGCTAAATATGATCTTAGTTCTGAATAATTAAATACTTATTTTCTCAACAGGACACTGTCTCCATTGTAGCAATTCTATTCCATTAAAAAAAGAAAAGACACAGGAAGTTCGCAATGAGTACTTCATACATTTGCTTCTGTAATAATATGCAAGGTGGTCTAGATCATGGATCCTGGCCCGACTCCCTGAGTTTAAATCTAGGCCCAGACACTTCTCAACTGTGTGACAGCACGTTACTTGGTTTCTTTGTGCCTCAGCTTCCTCATCCATAAAATGGGGATACTAACAGTATTTCCTTACAGGGTGATTTTTAAGAATTGAAATATTTATGTATTTATTTATAATCATAGTGGTATTAATGCATTATACGTGTGTTTGCTGTAGCACTGGTCACTGTTGTTAAATATAATAGAGACTTCATTTATCAGGTGGGAGAGTTCTTAGTGTATATTAAGTAAGGATTTGTTAAAACAGGGACTGGTGTCTTCACTATACTTTGGAGAGGCATATTCCTATGTACACTAGTGGTAATTATTTGTAGAAGCAATCCAAATCATTGAGTTTGCTTTATCCACCAGGTTAATATCTAGATAAAAGCATTTTAATTACCAAGATCATACTTAAATGCTTATTAAATGCATGAAAGAATAACCCAAGTCTTTTCTACCTATCAGCTTATGCTCAGCTCCAAAAGAAAGAATTTAGGACCAGAATAAGATACGCTCTCGCACTTCTGGTGTATCTCTCTCAGAAAGCTCAAGACAAAGAGACCATTTAGGAACACGAGAGGAAATGGTCTCCCCAGGCCGTGAACATTGTCCAGTCGGACTTGAGAATGCCCACCAGTCAGCACCGGCAGGGGAGTCTGTGTAGCCTCGCGACAGCCCCCTCCACACCGGCCCCCTCAATTTCTCTTTCTGGAAAGTGCCATAGTTTAGAAAAGCCTCTTCCACAAAACTTACCTGCTGGTCCCAACCTCCTCATCAGTTTTAAATCCTGCACATTAAATCAGGTATGTGGAGAGGGCCGAGGAAAGGACGTCAGAGTTAACAAAGGGAAGGGACGTCATGATATCAGGAAAACACTGACAGAGGCAGGATTCTCGGTTAGAAGAAGGGAGCTCATCATTAATGAGATTATATGCAAACTGTGTGACTTGTTTGGATATAAGTAGTACAAATTCGTGGATGTTCCTTCAAGGGAAGAGAACAGACACCAACATTCACTGAGTGCTTAGTAGGTGCCAGGATGTCTCCCTCTCTCCTTATGCTTTCCCTCTTTCATTTTTTCTCTCCCTCCATCTGCATCCATCCTTCTATCTTATCTAATTTTATTTCCAAAAAGTCTTAAAAAATAGGCTTTTTCCCCCTCGATCTTGATTCTCCCAAGGATGCTTACCTAGAAAGTACAGCTTCAATTTGAAATCAAATTAGATTCCACTATACCACTGACTCCCTGAATATATGGCATGAAAAAGCTTTATTGAGCTGGAGAGCACAGTTTGAGCCATCCATAAACCACATAGTGAAGAACTTCCTAGGGAAAATCATAAAGAACGAAAACTGACTCGAAGTCTAGAAATCATGGAATAGCACTGGAGGCCCACGTGTGTGCTAAGTGGCGGTGTGGCGTCCGTGGAGGAGAGATCACACAGGGGCGGAGGGGAACACTGAGCTTACCCCGTCTCTCCCTCACCTTCCTTGTCCCTTTGAAGTTCTCCCTGGTAGGGCACTGGGTGGCTGTCATTCCACATTCCACGTGTTGGCCATTAACCCAGGCTTCCTCCAGCTATACCAAATGATGGCATTTCCTCCTAAAGGTTTTTTGAAATCTTACCTTTCTTCCTCCATATTCACAAAAGCTTATTTGCAGTTTGCCAATAAGCACTTCTTTAGCATTTTTCACTGTTTTCCGTGTGAGTCAAATGACCTCTGCAATGCAGTCACTAATTGTAATTCTTTGCTAAGATTAAGCCAGAAATGTGAAGGCCTTACCCTGACTCCCTAACGAAAGGGTGACTCCTTTTCCGAAAACCAAAAAATGGTGTTGGCAGCTGTGGTGTATGGTTCCAGCTGGTATAAGGCAGTTTGCCTCCTGTCTAGTAAATAATGCACTATGAAAAATATTCTGTTCCCTGCACTCATGGAAGATAACTGACTCTGAAATCAAGGACTTGGTGGTTTTGCATCCTGGCCTTTCTACAAATTGTTGTTCACCATAAACAGAACCCTTCCCCTCTCTCAGCATGATTTTCCTCCTCAACCAAAGGGAGAATAGCATAGGACTCACCAACTTTCTGTAAATGCAGCAGGTACATATCAGACCCTCAATAAGTTGAATAGACACTTAGTGTAAGTGTTCTGAGAAACTTTTTCTAGCCTAGTTTGAAGACCCACTTTGCACACTTGCTGTATATGTATTGATTAACATAAAACATTTCTGAATAAAATACAGTATTTGAGGTAGAAATAATTTTGCATTGCTATAATATTTAGGAGGGAATAGCTCAGTAATTCTCTACAAAGCCCTTAACACCAAAGTGATGTTCTTTGTGCCCGGCTGGCCATCAAATAGAGAGATAATGTGGTATACACTGAATGCCTAGGTGGGCAAGGTATTTTTCATTTTGCATAGGCCAATAGGTCTTTTGAAGGTTTCTCATTAAGATGTTATACCACTGAGTGTAGGCAATCAGCGGAAATTGGAAATTTCATTATTTTAAAACTCTCCTTCTTCATGCTTTTGTGACAAGTGACTACATAGGATGTTTTAAAAATGACTTTATTTTAAAAGGCTGTATGTTTATATATTTTTCACCTAAGTTGCTATTTACTTGACACAAAATAAGTGGAAGTACTTCAGATTTCCAATTAATTTGATCCATGTAGACAACAAAACTGTCTTACTGAGACTCTGCCTAGAGTTACTACTGTTTTTTAAATCAGCCTGAATCTGCCATCACTATGCCAGTTATAACGAGGCAGAATAATGTCCCCATTAACAGTGTGAGCTCCTTGCTTCAGGTTCAAGTTGACAGACGTGGCCCACATCTTAATCTCGTATTCTCCTGAGACCCCGTTAAAAGGAAGCTAATGGAATAAAAAAGGGGACAATCTCTTAGTGGTAA